ATAAGATCGGCTGTAGAAATGTCGAGCGCCGTTTCTGCTAGTCGCGTAATTCTCCCTTAGCCGAAATTCGCGTCAGATCTCGGCCGTTCAGCTACAATTCGATCCGACGCCCCAAATTCCAACTTTTTTGGGCGAAATTCCCACGGCCGTTGAGATTCGATGTGATCTGACGGTCAAAATTCCAACTTTTTTTGCCAATGGACCTGAGGAGGATTCGAAAACCGGTTCGAGGGGGACGTTAAAAAATAGCGCGGAACTGGTTTACGTACCCGAAATCGGCGCTTTCGTCGTCGCCCCCGCGGTTTTTAAAGCTACGTTTAAGCGGTCGAAAAACTTCGCGTGTAAACAGGCTCTGATTACCAAGTGTGAGGATCTTAGGATCGAGCTCAGAAAAGAGAATTCGAATTGAATGTTTCACCTGGGTACAAGGCGAGGCTATATATAGGCTCGACACAAGGCAGGTAACCAGGTGTTACGCGAAGGTTCCGAGGGTCGCGAACCTTCGACGGAACCTTCGGGACCTTGAGGCTCCGTCGATGTTCCTGCGCACCGACACTTCGCTGCCGCCGTTCTACATCCTCGTGTACGTCGACAACTTGGTCTTTGCCACTGCTGACACAGAGGCTCTCGCCCTGGTGAAGTCGGAGCTGCAGAAGCTACCTTGGCTTACAGATTACCCGGGACAGAGCACGCCGCACCATTACACTGACTCAGTCACACATGGTGCAGCAGGTCCTTCAGCGCTGGTCCTCCCCACATTCCACTCCTCTAGCTACAGGTCACTCGCTCTCAGCTCCACCTTCGGACGAGTCCGCAGAGTCGAGTGGTCCTTACGCAGAGCTAGTGGGTTGCCTCATGTACCTGATGACCTGCACTCGACCTGACCTCGCGTACCCTCTTGGCCTTTTGGCTCGCTACGAGGCTCTCGATAGGCACCAAAAGGTGCACATGGATGCTGCTAAGAGGGTACTGCGTTACTGTCAGAATCCCAGCCACTAACCACTGGGATAAAAGGGCTTGTTTATATAGCGGGTGAGTGCGCCCATAACCCCCCAGGCCGACGTGCCTGTAACCCTTCCCTAGGATCATCGGGGATCTCCAGTGGACCTCTGACACCCCCCCGCACTGGGATGCCCGAAGTGCACACACCGGGAATCGAACCCGAGACCTTCGCTCTGATACCATGTCAGAATCCCAGCCACTAACCACTGGGATAAAAGGGCTTGTTTATATAGCGGGTGAGTGCGCCCATAACCCCCCAGGCCGACGTGCCTGTAACCCTTCCCTAGGATCATCGGGGATCTCCAGTGGACCTCTGACAGTTACCTGTGCAGTATATCGGGCATGGGGCTCGTGCTTGGAGGACGGAGCAACGTTGTCTTCACTGGACACTCTGACGCTTCTTGGGTTGACGACCAGGCTATGCAGCGGTCGTTATAGGGTTACATCTTCAGCCTTGGCCCTGGCTCTGTTTCTTGGCAGTCTACACGCTCGTCTTCTGTTCTCAGCTCCAGTTGTGAGGTTGAGATCTACGCCACAGCCATGGCTGCACAGGAGTTACGCTGGCTTACCTACCTGCTGACCGACTTGGGAGAGAGGCCTCGTTCTCCTCCAATTCTGTACGTCGACAACAAGGCCGCCATTGCCTTGTGTCAGGAGCACAGACTGGAGCACAAAACAAAGCACATCGCTCTGCGTTACTTCCTGGCTCGAGAGTTGCAGCAGCGAGGTCAGCTTCGTCTTGCTCACGTGGCCACTCGGGCCAACACTGCTGATATATTCATCAAGGCACTTCCGTCTGGTGATCATCAGCGCTTTTGTACTTTGTTAGGCCTTGTGCCTACGTTTCCGCACTTGCTGTAGACTTGCCTGTACTGTGATCTATATATATATACCTGCATGCTTGCTCTTGCTAGGTAGTGATCACTGTTCTGTTGTTGTTGCATATATACCTCTGCATGTGAACTGGCCTTGTGGCCCTTTGCTTGTGCTCAGTGTGTGTGGTGACGTTGTGATCCACCCTGAGCTTGCTTTGCTTCTCTTGACTGGTCTTGTGACCCCTTGTTCTCCCCCACTTTGCCTATGGGGGTGTGTCAAACTATATTTGTGTAGGCTGTAGTGGGGTAGCCAATATGGGGTACATAACTTTTAGGGTTTCATATTTGTACCCAACTCTGATCTAGTTCATTCATTCCTGTCTCTAGTTCCTAAGAAGGGTGCTACAGTGAGTGCGACACACTGGGGAAGGGAAATCAGAAATGGAACAAATTGGGGCTGTGAATTGGTGGAAAAAAAGGTCAGTCTTGCATGCATGATGCACTATGGTTGCAAAAAAGAGGGATGGTAGTCAATGATGGAACTAACTGGTTGCAGCATACAACAGATGGCATGCTTTGATTGGTAGTCTGAGCCGCCCCATGGAAGGGACATAAAGACCATATCAGCCTGCCTTACACAACAAGGCAAAGGCACAACTCAAACATGGGGGTGGGAGAATGGACCAATGGCTAGCACATGGTGAAAATTGTGGGTGGGAGTGCAGAAAGTGGGATTGTCGGGGTTGGGAGCATGGAAGCATGAGGGCAAGGGAGCGTGGCAATTCACTATACCATATTCGCACTCTTGCCTTGACGCTCTTCTTGATGAAAACTTCGAGCAACTAGACCAGAGATACATGCCCATATGGAATGAATTGCGAGAGAACTACATATAGGCGATTCCAATTTGCCATAAAAGGAGTGAGATGGTCGCTGTAATTGTCAATGACGAGCATCAAGTTCTACGAGGCATGGGCATTGGACTGGTTTGTATACTGCACGATCTCACTCTTAGTTAAGCGTGCCATGACAGCCACATTTGCGCGGGAAAATGGAGACGCTCATTAGTTTTAAAGCTCAAGGCCCAAATTGCGCAAGGTTAGTAATCTTGCGCAAGGGTTTGGGCTGGTCAAGAAAGTGTTGGGAGGGTGGGGTTGACTTTTTTCGCACAAGCTCTCGCAACAATCGCTGAGTCAGCAAACCCCAAGGCAAACATTCTGTTTGGGTCCGAGAGTCCCAAATTGAGAAATACTGAAAGTTGAAGTTTCTGCAGTGAGATTGGCCTCGACCAATCAGATTCATTCGTGCCTTCTGTAACCCAACCTTCGCCAAACCACAGCACCAAAACAGCAGCTGCGCAAGATTACTAATCTTGCCCAGCGCGGCCCGCAATTTGGGCCTTGAGCTTTAAATGGCATTAATCTAGGGGGGATGGCATTCAAGTATCTCAAGCTGAGCATTTGTACAGGGCTATCTTCATTGGGCACAGTTTTGCAGCAAACCACACCCAAGGCTGAAACTTTACCCATTCACGGAGCATACAAGCATGATGTTGCATCACTGCTTCATGTAACTTGCACTTTGCACAGTAGCCATGTCCACCCTTGAGGTTGACTAGTGTGCTCTGTGGCCGTCTCTAAGAAATGAAGCATTTAATCAGCGTTGATGATCATGTTGACTGGAACCTTGTGCTTGATTTTGCTCATTGGGATGCGCTTTCACACGCCCTCCACTTATTTTGCACACTTTGTTCAAGCGGGGTTAGGGACAAAATGATTGAAGTAGCCGAAAATGGCACAAGCGGAAACAAGCACGATGCCACTCAAGTTCGCACATGCATTGACCGCAATCAGTCTTCATGCACATCACAAGTTCCCATCAATCACGAAAACGATAGTGCACTGATGCCATACCTTTTGATCGTCATTTAGGCAGAGTACCACCCCTTCATGCATTTGATGGTAGGTGCTTCATTTTTCCCTCCATGCAGAAGGTGCACCAACTCTCTTTGCCACCGAACACTCTTGGCTCTGATGCTCTGACATTCAGGTTCGTCCACTTTAGTGGGTTTTTCCCCTTGAGAACTGTCTGGAGGGTCCCCTTGAGTCCTTGGGCATATCTTAGCCGTGTCTTATGCACCTTGCATGGCACCTCTGCTTTGTCATCCCTGCTCTGCCTTCCCTCGCCTCGCCTTCCCTCGCCCCCCGTTCTTCTGCACTGTTGTTGACATCTGGATCGCCAGGATGAACTTTTCAATATCGGATCCCTCAGCTGTCACGTTCCACCTTTTATCGTCGTCACCACGCTTCCTATGGTTCAAGGGGAGGAAACTCGTATTCCACATCCACTACCTCATAGGAATAAAACTTTAAGGGCTGCCTGTGCACCAAGACCATGCATCCCTGCCTAATGGAAAGTGTAACCAGGGACGTGCAGCACATTCAACACAGAAGGAGCAGAAGGGGCAGGTGCAGCACATGATGCTAGCGGAGCAGGCCGGGCGGCCAGTGCTAGAGGAGCAGATGAAGCGGGTGCAAAATTACGGAGTATATAGTCGTCCGGCTGGCACATACCTGGAGGGTGTTTTTTGTAGCATCCCATGGAGGCACGAACAGAGAAGGCATGGGCTTTGAAAACTCTGTGGCGTTCGTAACACATGGTCACACCTTGCACGACCAGCCCCTTCACGAACCATTATCACAGGGTTTTCAGTGGCAAGGAGTACCGGTAGTTTCTAGGAAGGGATCTCTTTTGCCAAGGTGGAAGTGAGTATTTTTGTGCTCCTTGAATCCATGGCTGCATCATGTGAGTAGCTATAGTGCTGCCAGCGTAACTCAGTTGACCTCGACTAGCCAACTGGGTTTAGCTGATGTGCTGTTGCAACCAGATCCAAGAAATTTGGGCTTTATTGATCCCTTTGAAAAAAAAGCAGCTGTTGCTATAATGGGTTCTTGGGACACCAGGATCCACGAAATGGTGCTTACGGCATACTACCAGAATGCTAAAGAAGCTTTTGGTTATTCCAATACTGGACAACACAGCCTCGGGAGCAATACCCTGGCGGGTTTGGTATCCAGGGGAATACGATTACAATAAGAATTAAATTTCGACATAATAGTACAAGGTGTCGAGAATTGGTTGTCTAGTTGAGTAGAGTGGATCTGAAGCACTCAACAGGAAGCATTAGCTAGAGCACCAGACGGAGCGGTAGGTCTGTCGCACCTGCCTGGTTGATGATGAGTGAATATAGACATGCACCAGATGAAACAAGAATAGAGATGGAAGGTCTTGGGTATGGAGTGGACTGAATGATACAGTGGTGTACCATTGACATGGTATAATGAAACGCGCAGTGCAGATTGACTTATGTATGACAAATGCAGATTGCTGATTGGTTTGTGACTGGCAACTTACATATTTGCCATCGCATAATTTGATGCACTGGATGCATTATTTCCAATCTCCACACTTGTGCTTGAGTCGCAGTCATCCGTTGTGAAGAATTTGACCCCACGACAGCCCCTAACGCCATTGATGTTGTTCACTGAATACTGAGTCCTGTAGCCCTCCGTTGGGAATTGAGTGCAGCCATCTTGTAGGCGGAAGGTGTAGGGCCTGGACGTCCAGGTATTAGAGTTGATTTCCTTGATAACTGTGATACTCATGGCCACCACTTGGTCAGGTGAACCTGAAAACGGATGGCACAAGCAACCAGGGAAACGTGGAGCAAGGATGAGAGGAAACGAGAAGGAAGGGTCATGATGCTATGAAGTGGTATAGGAAGGGAGAGTGATGGCAAATGATGACACGAGTACAAGTTGACTGCTGCATGCTGAAGGTAAGTAGAATCTTTGCAGCTTGGGGTCACAGCTTCAGGTTGAGAAGCTTTCAGCTTCATGATCCGTCATCGCAACTTCACTGCATCGGCCCTGATCAAAAGCAGGGAGTTAGGAAAATGCATGTTCTAATCAACAGAGATAAGCAACCAGGGAGGTATTGAATCTTACCCTGGATGCATCCCGTTGGGGTCATCCCAAAGCCCGCAGGGCACTCGCAGTATGGCACATCCGCCCCGTCTCCAACAATTGAACGGATGGTTTTGCAGGTGGCTCCAGAGGGACACGTGCCACAAGGTGAGTCTGAGCAGCACAGCAAGCAAGGCAAGGAGATGACGAGATGAGCATGGCAAGTGGGACTGCTGCAAATGAGTGTGCGGTTAACTGCACCAAACGATAGTGCTGATGGAGAACGGGTGCAGATGGGCTAGGTTGGATGAGTAGAAAGCTGGAACAAAAATCTAGAAGCCATGCTTACTCCATTTGCATCTGCGATTTGTTCCATACTTCACACAAACCCCATCTGGTTCACAAAGAAAATATCTGGGGCAAAGCATGTCTGATGAGAGTGCATGGAAGGATGGGCCAGAAGAAAGGGGGGAGAGATAGAGAGAGATAAAAGAAAACGGGGATGCTTGAGAGAATTAAATGCGAACATGCATAGTAAGAGTCCAACTGTGAAGCTGCAAACATGTACACCGAATTTGCAAGGGTGATATCAGCATATCCTTGATCTTTACAACCAAGGGTCACTAAGTCAAGTACGCATGCAATACAGTAAATCTTGAAAGGAAATTGAGTTGTGGGGAGACCAAGATTCAATGACTGGTGTTGAAATGGAGGTCACGCCCCCCTGTTTTGCACTCCTCCAACTCACCAATGCAGGAGAGCTTGTCAGAAGAGGGCTCGAAGCCATCGTAGCACCTACAGAATGGATCCCCGTTTGCATCTTTCAAACACTTGTTGTCAGGCCCACAATTCACCGTAGCACAGTTGTCTGCAGAAAAAAGAAACCCATGAAAAATGGAAGGGTATCATTAAAAAAAAAAAAAAGGTACAAAAAAAAAAAACAAAAATGAACTTGAACCTTGAGAATCAAGGGTCACAGGTGCGCACATGCTTCAGTTGCAAGCGATATGAGGTGATGGGAGGCCAAGATACAAGACTAGGTTTGAAATGAAAGGCACGGCCACTGTGTAGCACCCTCCAACTCACCAATGCAAGATAGCTTATCAGAAGATGGCTTGAAGCCAATTCTGCAACTACACGATGGATTTCCGCTCGCATCCTTCGTGCAGTTGTTGCCGGCCCCGCAATTCACCGTATCACAGTTGTCTTGAGAAAAAGAAAGTCATGCAAATGGAAGGAAAACATAAAATCAGAAAACTATAAAGTCAGATCTTCACAAGTTAGTGTCACAGAGTGGAATGCGAACGTAATTCGTTAACACGTGCAAGTTAAAATGTTTTGGTTTACAATGCAATGCCCACCCTCTTTGTTGCATCACTCCAACTTACCAATGCATGATAGCTTGTCAGAAGACGGTTTGAAGCCAGTGCTGCAACTACATGATAGATTTCCGCTAGCATCCTTTGTGCAGTTGCCGCCAGACCCACAATTAATCGCATCACAGCTGTCTGCAGAAATTAAGACCGAGGCAAGAGGAAGGATATCATCATTTCATAAACTATGGAACTCAGATCTTAAATAATAACGCAATTCAATAATTTATGCAGGAAATATGAGGTGAAGGAAGGCCAAGTTTCAAGGACTGTTAGATGCAAGGCCCACCCTCCGTGTTGCACCCCTCCAACTTACCAATGCACGAGAGCCTATCAGAAGATGGTTTGAGGCCCCTGCTGCAACTACACGATGGATTTCCGTTTGCATCCTTCACACATTTGTTGCCAGTTCCGCAATTTACTGTAGCACAGTTGTCTGCAGAAAAAGAGACACGTGCAAATGGAAGGGTAATTTATTATCATGAAACTATGAAACTCGAACCTTGACAATCTAGTGTCACAAAGTCAAATACAAATACAATTCATTTACATTTGCAAGAGATATGGGGTAAAGGGAGGCCAAGTTTCAAGGATTGGCTTGAAATTGAAGGCACGCACTCTGTATTGCACTCCTGGAACTCACCAATACAAGCGATGGAAGCAAACGGCTTGAAGCCAATGCCGCAACTACATGATGGATTTCCTCTCGCATCCATTGTGCAGTTGCCACGAGGCCCACAATTTACGAAATCACAGGTGTCTGCAAAAAGAGACTCAGGCAATTGAAGGGATGTTATCATAAAAAAAAAAAATATGAAATCCAAGTCTTCAAAATTAAGGGTCACAAAGTAGAATACGCACGCAATTCAGTAACAACTGCAAAAAATATGGGCTGAAATGAGGCTAAGCTTCAAGGACTGGTTTATGAATGATAATGCAAGGCACAGCCTCTATGTTGCACCCTTCCAACTCACTAATGCATGAGAGCTTGTCACGGGACTGAATGAAGCCAGTGTTGCAACTACAGGATGGATTTCCGCTTGCATCCTTCGTACAGTTGCCGCGACTCCCACACTTCGCCACAACACAGGTGTCTGCAGAAAGAGACTCAGCCAATTGGACACATATTATCATCTCAGAAAGCTATCATATCCAAATCTTGTCAATCAAGGGTTATAAGGTAAAATTTGCTTGCAATTCAGTAACTCTTGCAAGAACTATGAGCTGATAGGAGGCCAAATTAAGAGATGCAAGGCATGGAATCTGTGTTCCATCTCTCCAGCTCACCAATGCAAGAGAGCTTGTCACCAGACCGCCAGAAGCCAGTGCTGCAACTACAAGTTGGATTTCCACTCGCATCCCACGTGCAGTTGTTGCCAGTCCCGCAATTTACTGCAGCACATTTGTCTGCATAGAAGGAGACCCATGGACGCAGAAGGATATTATAATGTCGGAAAAAATGAAACTCGGACCTTAACCATCAATTGTGACAGAGTTGAATACGCACGCAAAATATGAGCTGGCGGAATGCCCAGTTTCAAGGACTGTGTTTGAAATTCAAGGCATGCACTCAGTGTTGCACCCATCCAACTCACCAATGCAAGAGAGCTTGTCAAAAGACTGCTTGAAGCCAGTGATGCAACTACATGATGGATCTCCATTTGCATCCCTTGTGCATTTGCCACCAGGCCCACACTTCACCGCGTCACAGTTGTCTGCAGAAAAAAAGACCCGTGCAAATGGAAGATAATAAATAGCTATGCTATCCAGATCTTGACAAACAAGGGTTATAGGGTAGACTACGCACAAAAATCAGTAAATTCTCATTATATATGAGCGAAAAAAGGCCAACTTTCAAGGGCTGTGTTTGAAACGCAAAGCAACCACCCTGTGTTAGCACCGCTTCAACTCACCAGTGCAAGAGAGCTTGTCAGAAGAGGGATTGAAGCCAATGCTGCAACTACAAGATGGATTTCCGCTCGAATCCCTTGAGCAGTTGCCGCCAGGCCCACACTGCACTGCATCACAATTGTCTGCAATGAACAAACTCAAGCAAGTGGTTGGATGTTGTAATATCAGAGAAACAATAACATTACAATCTTGACAGATCAAGGTTCACAAAATCTTGCAAAAACTATGAGCTGAAAGAAAGCTAAGTTCTCAGGACAATGTTTGAAAGGCATGCTCACTGTATTGCACTTCCACTCACCAATGCATGAGAGTTTGTCAGACGAGGGTTTGAAGCCAGTGCTGCAACTACATGATGGATTTCCGCTCACATCCCTCGTGCAGTTACCGCTAGGCCCACACTTCACCGCATCACACTTATCTGAAGAAAATGAGACCCAGACAAATGGAAGGATATTATCAAATCAAATCTCCCTGATATCTGAATCTTAACAATCAAGTGTCATAGGGTTGTAACTCTTGCAAGAAATATGAGTTGAAAGAAAGCCAACTATTAAGGCTGGGCTTGAAATACAAAGCACGCTTGTTGCATCCCTCCAACTCACCAATGCAAGAGAGCTTATCAGAAGATGGCACGAAGCCAGTGCTGCAACTACATGATGGAATACCCATCGTATCTCTTGTGCAGTTGCCGCCAGGGCCACAATTCACCGTGGCACAGGTGTCTGCAAAAGAAAGAAACCCAAGCAAATGGAAGGATGTTATTATATTAGAAAGCTATGATAATCTAATATTGAAAATGAAGGGTTGTAAAATACGTGTGCAACCCAATAGCTTTCAACGGCTGGGTTTGAAATGCAAAGCAAGCTTGTCGCACCCCTCTAACTCACCAATGCAGGAGAGCTTGTCAGAAGAGGGCTTGAAGCCAGTGTTGCAACTACATGATGGATTTCCGCTCACATCTCTTGTGCAGTTGCCGCCAAGCCCACACTTCACCGCATCACAGTTGTCTGCAGAATATATGACATCCAGACAAATGGAATGATGCTATTATAATAAAACTCTCTGATATCCCGATTTTGACAGGGTCACAGGGTAGAACACGCACGCATCTAAGTAACTCTTTCATGAAATATCAGCTAAAAGAAGGTCAAATACTAAGGGCTGGGACTGAAGTGCTTAGCAAGCACTCTGTGTTGCACCCCTCCAACTCACCAATGCAAGAGAGTTTGTCAGAAGAGGGCTTGAAGCCAGCGGCACAACTACATGATGGATTTCCACTCGCATCCCTTGTGCAGTTGCCACCAGGCCCACAATTCACCGTAGCACAGGTGTCCGCAGAAAAAAGAGACCCATCCAAATTTTGACAATCAAGGGCCACAGTATTAAGCTCGCACACAACTCAATAACTCTTGCAAGAAATATGAGCTCAAAGAAGGCCAAATTTCAAGGGCTGTGTTTGTCATGCGAAGCAAGCACTCTTTGTTGCACCCCTTCAACTCACCAATGCATGAGAGCTTGTCAGAAGATGGCTTGAAGCCAGGGCTGCAACTACAAAACGGATTTCCGCTCGCATCCCTCGTGCAGTTGCCGCCAGGTCCACACTTCACTGAAGCACAGAGGTCTGATGATGATAAGGAAAAGGCTATGGAGACAGGGAATGAAGATGAGTTTTGAAAGCCATGGTGTACACAACAGGAGGAGTGGGCAATGATGCAACGAAATAACCATGGGCTGGATATACAGAGAATTTGTGTGATCAATAGCTCCTGTAATGAATCTGTGCCAAGAACTTGGGAACATGCTACACAGCACCAGACTTTTCAGCACGCACCCAGTGTTGGCTTTTAAAGTATAATCTCGATAGTCTCTTCAACTAGAAGATTATCATCGAGCAAGGTGGTTAGGTTCAGGTGACACAGAGGCAGAAAACACATAAGACGAGGGGGTATCGGTAGCAGCGTACCTAAGCAAGTGCCATTGACCGCAGAAAAGCGCAGGTAGCATGCACAGGTGACGCCCTTGCTGTCACTCGTTGGCATGCACGTGGAGTTGCTGGGACACGTGGCCTGCAAGCAGGTGATGTCTGCCATGGGGGACAGGGATATGTGTGCAGCGCGGCCGGTGAAACCATAGAGGAATGATGCAAACGATGTGTGCGGCATAGTGGTAAGGAGGCAAGAAGACAAAGAGGCGAACAGGCAAGGAGGCGAGATACAAGGAGGCGAGGAGGAAAGGAGGCGAGGAGGCAAGGAGGGAAGGAGGCGAGGAGGTACACACCAGGCTTGCAGGAAATAGAGGTCCATCCTGATATCTTCTTGGAGCTGCAAAAACGTCCAGAGAACACTTATAACAGCCGTTAGGAACATTTTGCGCATCAAAACCAGATAACACCCACGTGCCCCCAAGACCCACGTGTCCCCAAGACCCACATGCCCACATGACCCACGTGCCCCCATGACCCACGTGCCCCCATGAGTCATGACCCACCTGCCCCCTACGACTCACCTGGGCTCGTTGGATAACTTGCGTGGACCGGTGAATTGTGGCTTCAGCACCTCATCCAGCGCCTTGCCCTTGCAGTTGGGGATGGCAAAGAACTGCAGCTGCTTGCACGCCGCACCCGCCCCATCATCCGTGCCCGCTTCGTTCTCACTTGAACCCCCTTTGTCCTTGCTGCCGCTCGCAAGCCCATGCCACCACACCTGCACGTCCCCTCCCGTCCGTGGAAGGGTGAAGCATGAGGAGGCGTCGAAGCTGACGGGGAGGCTGACGCCCGAGACTGTAATCTGCGTCGCCACCTGCACGCTCGCATCCACCGTTCCATCACCGCTTCCACCTCCCACTTGCACCTGCGTGCCCTCATTCCCGCTTCCAGTGGTCTCGCTTTTGACGCTCCTCCTCGCCGTCACAGTTTTGTCCATGCCGCTCACTCGTGCGTGAGCCATGGAGGCCGCTGCATGCAGAGGAAGCAGAGAGTGAGAGGGGGCGGAGGGAGAGGGAACAGAACAGAGGGGTGAGAGAGAAGCACAGGGGTGAGAGGGAGGACAGGTGTGAGAGGGAGCAAACGGGAGAGAGAGAGCAGACACTTCAAGACGGCGTCCCATCTGCAGACACTTCAATGCTGACCCGTCAACTTAACAGGCGGCGAAGCTCTCACACCAATACCGCCAGCGCTGGTCGGTAGAGCTGCAACGCGGGAAAGCTGTAGGCTACAAGATATGAGGAACAGGGTGCAATGAGGCGCCCCAGTTGGAGAACCCGCCCGTGGGCGCCCCAGGCGAGGACATGTCCCTGGGAGGCTGAGCCCGCCCTGGAGCTCCCTTGCACGGAAAGTTTGAGCAGAAGGGAGAGAGATTGCAGAGGGGAGAGAGATCGCAGAGGGGAGAGAGATCGCAGAGGGGAGAGAAGTCGCAGAGGGGAGAGAAGTCGCAGAGGGGAGAGAGATCTCAGACGGCAGAGGGGTCGCAGAGGGGAGAGAAGTCGCAGAGGGGAGAGAGATCGCAGAGGGGAGAGAGATCGCAGAGGGGAGAGAGATCGCAGAGGGGAGAGAGATCGAAGAGGGGAGAGAAGTCGCGGAGGGGAGAGAGATCGCAGAGGGCAGAGGGGTCGCAGAGGGGAGAGAAGTCGCAGAGGGGAGAGAGGTCGCAGAGGGGAGAGAGGTCGCAGAGGGGAGAGAAGTCGCAGAGGGGAGAGAGATCGCAGAGGGCAGAGGGATCGCAGAGGGGAGAGAAGTCGCAGAGGGGAGAGAAGTCGCAGAGGGGAGAGAGATAGCAGAGGGCAGAGAGATCGCAGAGGGCAGAGGGATCGCAGAGGGGAGAGAAGTCGCAGAGGGGAGAGAAGTCGCAGAGGGGAGAGAGATCGCAGAGGGGAGAGAAGTCGCAGAGGGGAGAGAGATCGCAGAGGGGAGAGAGATCGCAGAGGGGAGAGAGATCGCAGAGGGGAGAGAAGTCGCAGAGGGGAGAGAAGTTGCAGAGGGGAGAGAGATCGCAGAGGGGAGAGAAGTCGCAGAGGGGAGAGAGATCGCAGAGGGGAGAGAGTTCGCAGAGGGGAGAGAGATCGCAGAGGGCAGAGGGATCGCAGAAGGGAGAGAGATCGCAGAGGGCAGAGGGATCGCAGAGGGGAGAGAGATCGCAGAGGGCAGAGGGATCGCAGAGGGGAGAGAGATCGCAGAGGGCAGAGGGATCGCAGAGGGGAGAGAGATCGCAGAGGGCAGAGGGATCGCAGAGGGGAGAGAGATCGCAGAGGGCAGAGGGATCGCAGAGGGGAGAGAGATCGCAGAGGCCAGAGGGATCGCAGAGGGGAGAGAGGGAAACAAGCGTGCGCGGTAACTGAGAACGCGGCAACCGCGAAGAGAAACAGAGGACAGAAACGACTCACCTCCGATGATGATGACGGTAGTAAGGACGACGAGCGGAAGCAGCGCGGGAGGGAAGGCGGCCATTGCGGCCGAGCTGCCACGTCAGCTGGGTACAGCACGCGTGACCTGCGAGTGACTTGAGCTTCCGCCAGCCAATCGACTGGCTCTGGGGTCGCACGCGTGCCAGACGTGCACGAATAGCGCAATGGCACACGAGGTGGTTTTGAACTGATTCTGTAAGATGATACAACACGATGCAGGCTAGTTACAAAGGTAAAGCTAATCGTGGTACTGCTGGCGCAATGCCGAGGTGGTTTTGATCTGAATAGGCTGGTACATGGGTAAAGCTGATCGTATAGCTGCTGGCGCTACTTTCATGCGGCGCGATATTCCCCAGAAGAAGCGGAAGATACGCTTTCATGGCTACTAGAAGTGGTTTCTAGTAGTCGAGATTCAGATGCTCCCAGGAGCGCTGGCGCTGCAGATCGATCGGGCAGCTTGATGAGCACTTATTGATTTGTCACTTATTGATAGGTCGCTTATTGTTGCTTCACTTATTGATCGATCGTCTGGAGGCTTCGTTGAGTGCGCGAGCGAGGAATGCGGCGACTGATATGGGTGATAAACGGTGAGCTTGAAGACCCTATCACGATCAGCGGCAGCAGCAGGGCCTATCACAGAGCGAGCACCTGAATTATTGCAAGTTCTGGGCTTGCGCGAAAAGACTCCGCTCATCGCTGGCGCACAGCCTTCGCAGGCAAGTGGTTCGCTCACACGGGTTTCGCTGCTCCTAGCACCAACCCCGCGACGCTAGCAATGGCCCGCAGTATTTTTCGTGAGTTACCGCTCATGCCACAAGGGAAACATCTCGCGATGCAATTGAGACTTGCGTTATTGAGTTTATATGAAATGCTTAAAGAGAAATTTCTAACGCAGTTAATATTTTCTATTTCTACGTACAAAACACCACAAACTGTATTTTCCAATTTCGGGTGAAAGTGCATTATGCACTGCAAAAAAAAAAAAAAACACTAAGATACTACCAGGTTTTATAATATTTGAACAGCCCCCTACCAGGGCCCAAAATATCAGGGTAAAACGCCCTGATTACCCTGGGGGTCGGCCGTTTTTTCAAGATTACCCTGCCAGAATCAGGAATGCGAAATTGTTACCCTTCTCTTAAAAGAACATGTTTTTTTTTTTACTCTGACTGGTTTTAAGGTTAGCCCGACGGAATCAGGGTGTAGTGTACACTACCCTTTTACCGAAACGTTTCTAACGCTAATCAGACCACAGTCCGCTTTGTGACAAAGCGCACACCCCCACAAACACCGGTTGTCGCTTGTGCCCACGCGCAAAACAATGCTTCGCTGTCGGCAACACGCCACGTTGCTTCATTTGTTGTTTGGGTGTATTACTTTATTTCTGATTTTATTAAAACCGTAGCTCACAAAACTGTAACCAAAACAGGGTTGGCCCAAAACTACCCTGCTCAAATCAGCCTAGTGCCTGAGTTACCCTGCTGAAATCAGGGTACGAAAAATTCTACCCTAGGGGTCTGTTCTAGGAGGGGCTGGTTCCCTGATTTGTAAGGGTAGGCCTAAACCAATTTTGGGCCCTGCCCCCTACTAGAGTTAAAGACGGTTAAGAGTATTACAATAATACCAGCATGTCATTTTTAAGATCACCGGAATTTATCAATGTTAGAACGAGAATCTTTTGGATAGGATGCCGTAGGTCTGCCAAGAGAATAGGTAGCGGAAATCTTTGAATGGTGATAGTATTTGTAAATGACAAGGATTGATTAAATAGATCTTAGCTAGCTACAGCACATACTCTAAGGGGACAATCCCTTATTATAACTGTGATACACACTTTGCTACAGTAACCACTGCTATTGCGCTCCTTTAGTTGCCGGGTTTGTATGCAACTGTAGATACCAGTTACGCCCGTTGCCATTCTTCGCATGTAACCATTCGGTCGAGGTTGGTCAACTGTCGCGACAGTTGACTTGCGGTTGTTGACCTCCATGCCCTATATGGGCTAACGTGCTAACGGTACAGGTGCTGCTTTGATGGCAGCAGGTGCGATATTGCTGCACCTTCAGGAATTCTAAGTAAGTCGCTTACTCTAACACTCTCCTTGTTTCCTGAAGGTGTGCCACATGGCTTTTCTTGAAGACTCCGCACAGGTATGCGCAGTACTGGAATTTCTGACGTGGCAGCTTCTTCGTCACGAAATCGGTTGCCATTTTGCTAGTTGGGCAATAGGTGAGCTGGACTTTGCCTTGTCGATATCGTCTTTGACGAAGAAGAAACGAAGGACGATGCGTTTCGTGCGGTTGACGAAGCTAGGCTTGTTCGCGATCTTGATTGTGCTCTGGTTGACCCGTTCATCGCTGTTTTCGTTTCTTGCAGGAGCTCCGTGAGGTAGAGACCTTCACGAACTGCTGCACTTGCGGCGATGAATTTAGCTTCAGCGGACAATAGAGCGATGAGCTCTTGCTTCTGAGAGTTCCACGAGGTGGTTCTCGCAGGCTCAAGTTAAAAAATAAAGTCTGTGCGAGACCTCCAATTCTCTGTCTCCCCAGTGTGATCAGCATCCATGTAGCCAATGAGTTGTATATTAGCCATTAGGTTCGCCTTGTACGTAAGGCCGACGCCAGGAGTATATATGAAATACTATAGGTCGCGTCGTAGGTCCGCCATATTCTCCCCTTCAGGATGGCACTAATTCTGGGCGAGCTGGCTAGCGGCGTACGACAGGTCTGGTCGGCATGTGATGGCGGCGAATAGAAGGCAAACGAGTTGATGCTAGTAGAGGCGATGATCAGCAGCAGATAATAAGGTCGTCTCAAGTTTGTCGTTAGGCAGAGGGACTCGGAAGGGTGTGGCGAGGTTGACGGGAGCGATGCCGAACTTCTTGGCGAGCGTCTCAACGTATTTCGCGGCGGACAGGGGAATTGTGTCGGCCGACTGCGTGACTTTGAGACCAAGAAACAGAGTGACATTCTGATCCACAGTCACTTCTAGTTACTGCCTTATATCGTTTTTAAAGCAATCAAGCAGCTCCATATTGTCCCCGGCGTAGAGTAGGTCGTCAACGTAGGCTACGAGTAGGATGAAGCTCCCGCGGGACTGGAGGCGGTACATCCCCTGATCGTGGGGTAGCTACTAGAACCTGAGCTCGATGAGTACCGGTACGTTGTGCAGGTAATGCTGCCACAGGTGCGGTGCCCGTTTCATTCAATAGAGCAGTTTCTACAGAAGGAGCACGGCGCCTCCATCTTCCTCAAAGGCGTGCGGCTACTCGACGAAGATAATGGCGTCGACGATTGCATAGAGAAACGCATATGACATGTCATTCTGGCGGAGTGGCCTCTGGCAGGAATGTGAAGCGGTGAAGGTGTGAATGCTCTCCAGCTGCAGCCACTGCAGTAAAGGTGGCAGCGCACTCAAGCCGCCCCATGCAAGCCCAATTGTGAGGCATGGGTCATCTAATAGGCATCAAGGTACATGAAGTAAGGCACATGCAGTACGGCGCATGCAGTAAGGCACGCGTAGTACGACACGTGGAGTAAGGCACATGCACTAAAGCATTGTGTCTCAGGGGAAGTGGTGTCACACATTTTATGCAAGCATTTTGGGTCATGTCATTGCCGTCAGGGCGAGCGCATTACGGAATCGGGTTGCCTGCTTTAGACTGTGTGGTTTTGAGGTGGCTCCAGAGGGGCAGCTGCCACATGGCGAGTCTGGGAGAGGCAGTAACGGCAAGAGGGAGTGCGATAGGGTAGTGCAGAGTTACAACAGTCTCATCGAAGATGGGCAATGATGGGAAAAGCCAAAAAGTGGAAACATTGCTGTCCAACATGACACCAGTAAGACTCAATGCTATGGAAAAAACAGCATGACATTAACACCAGTCCGTGTCGGGCCAGCTACACCATGCTAGCACATGCCTCATCTCATGATGGCTGCTCACCCCATTTGCAGTAGTGCACGTTCTTGCCTATCTGCTTGAGACAAGTCCCACCCGGTGAGCAACCCAAAGCCAAGCAGGCAACATCTAAAACATGAGCACACGAATTGTGGCGAGTGCAGGGAAGGAAGGATAGGTGTGAAGATGGGATGGGAATCAGTATGAAAACAAGATCACTATTGAACACTGGAGAACAACTGTTTTGTGGCACAAGCAACACAAGAAATGGAGTGTTGCGTTGAGATAAAGTTTGGGAATGGGAAAACAAGTCAACAACATCAAATTTCTGCAAGCAAGCAACATGAGAACACTGTGCAGGTATAGATTTTGGGCACGAGAAAACCAGGCAACAAGACAAAATACTGCAAGCCTGCATTTTGGTTTCAGAGCACCATGCCTCACCAGAGCAAGTGCCATTCACAAGCATACCGAAGCCCTTGTTACAGCAGCAGGATGCAACCCCTGACCCACCCTTACAGTGCACCTGTAATGCAACCCTGCAACCCTGCTGTGTGATTCTGAACCACCACGCCTCACCAGAACAAGTGTCGTTGGTAAGCATGTCAAAGCCCTAATCACAGGAACATGATGCAACCCCTGACCCAGCAGTTGGCGTTGGCCCCACACTTAGCGCATGTGTCTACGATGGAAGTGCCACAAAGAAAAGCATGTTTAGTTGAGACAAGTTTGAGAATGGGAAAAAGAGTCAGCAGCAACAAATCATTGCAAGGAAGCAGCATGAGAAATGATGTGTTAACCCACTTCACCTTCTCGTTCATCTTGGCTCCGGCGATTTGGCATTCAGGTTCAGGTTCCCTCAGGGGTTTTACCATTAGGGAACGTCAGCAATATCTTCGCGCCTCGTGTAGCTCCTCCGCTTTGTAATCCCTGTCTTCCCTTGCCTCACATTTTCCTGCCTCGCCTTCTCCGGCCCCGCCTTTCCCCATACTCGTGTTCCCTCGCCTCGCCTTCCTCCACCTCGCCTCCCCCCGCCCCACCTTCCTCCGCCACCACTTCCTCCAAATCGTCGTGGATGTCTGCATGCCATCCTTCAACATCGGGCCCCTCAACTATGATGTTCTACCATCTATCATTGCCAGCATTTG